ACTATTACTACTGTTACTACTATTACTACTACTACTACTACTACTACTACTACTACTACTACTACTACCAACCACTACCACTACCACTACCACCACCACCACGACGACGACTACTACGACTACTACGACTACGACGCCGACGACGCCGACGACGACGACGACGACTACTACTACTAGTAGGGCCCCGGACGTTTCCAAGGTTCGGGCCCCGAAGGTCGGGCCCCGAACTGTGCACTACTATTGCTACTACCACCGCAGTACTAGTACGACTACTACTGCTACTACTAATACTACTACTACTACCACTACTACTACTACTTCTACTACTACTCGCTACTACTACTACTACGACGACTACTACTACTACCACTACTACTACTACTACTGCTACTACTACTACTACTACTACTACTGCTCGGGCCCTGGAAGTTTCCCAGGTGAAATGATCTGAGTTGTATTATTAGTTGGGCACAGGTCTCCTGCTGAAAGCATTCGCTTCGGACAAAGCAGTAAGACTTGGCGCTGAAGGACTTGTGCTATGGGCCGAAATACACAACGAGGGTGATGTCAACGTGGTTGTTTTGAAATGTCATGGTGGGGATCACTCGAAGTAAAGTAATCACGAAAGCTAGCATCAGCTAGCTGGAGTTGCTCTTGCTTTAGCAAGTCAAGGGCTCGCAGCCTCGAGAATCATGAATCACGTGAAAACTTCACGTGTAGGGGGCCCCCCCCCCACCGCGGGTTCAACTCCCCCCTGGGACGCTTCCGGTACGTGCTATAGTGCTATGTTTAGGTGGCAGGTGAAGTAGGCCACTGTTTGAGTTTGGAAGGGGGGGCATGAAACATGAAATTTACGCGAGGGTTCAAGGCTTCAATGATGAGCATCACGGGAAGTCAGAAACCAGGCGTATCAGATACACGTGCTTTGAGCTTCCTTCGGCATCTCAGTGCATATGGCTGACACTTCACTCGACAAAGATGCTCAAACAAACATACATAAACCAGGTGTATCTGATACGCCTGGTTTGTGACTTCCCGTGGTGCTCATGATGCTGCGTTGCTTTTCTTCAGTCCCTCATTACATAAACATGACGATCCAACAGCAGATTCAACAAGCTCACATGTTCATGACATCGACATCGATAGAAGAAACCAAACAAATCATGCAAGCAGCTTTGTTTTGCCTCTGGGACACCTCTTGGGCACCTCTTATGGCATCCACACTGGTTCAACTCCTCCGTGGAGGTTTTGGGATACGGTGCAACAGATTCAACAAGCTCACAGGTTCGTGAACACATCGGATGCATCGAACAGTGTGGCAAAGTCCAGCCACGCTTCCTTAATTATCGGGGACTTCAATTCTAAGGTTGGCTGTGTCATTGCTGTTTGTGTGTCTTACATGTTCACAACGTTTTACCTCATGAGCATTTGCCTCACTCCGCTTGATGTCCCACCAGTCCGGATGCACCCCTGCTAGCTTTCGTCACCTACCCTCGGCCTCAAGTTTTCGTTCTTTTTCCTACTGCTTTTGCTTTTGCTTTTTGCTTCTACTTATGCTTTTGCTTCAACTTTTTGCTTTTGTTTCTGCATGTGCTTTTTCTTTTTGCTTTTCCTTCTGCTTTTGCTATTGCTTTTTGCTTCTGCCTTTGCACCAAAGCCAGCGTGACGGAGAGAACGAGACAGTGACAAAGGGAGGGAACAGAAAAGGTATCCCACTTACTATAGGGACTTCTTTGCGGTTGTTTTTGGGTTTCGCTCGGGTTTCTTTGGGGTTGGTTTCTTGTCTTTGCAGCACAAACACCTGCGTCCCAAAGAAACCCGAAACCAGTGAAGCCCAAAGACAACCGCAAAGAAGTCCCTATATATAGTAAGTGGGATACCTTTTCTGTTCCCTCCCTTTGTCACTGTCTCGTCCTCTCCGTCACGCTGGCTTTGGTGCTTCGTCCCTTGCCCTTTCTGCTTCTTCTTTGGAGTGCTTGTAAAGCACGCCCAGCAGAAGCAAGAGCAAAAAACAAAAGCAAAAGCAGTAGGGGAAACAAATCCCGGAAAAACAGAAAAATACCGGAAACAATCTTTATCCTTGATCTGTCTCGAGCAGCTCTCCTTGTTGCTTGGCATACTGGAGGAGAACTTGAACATGTTCCTCATCATGTAGTCCCCAGAGCATCTGAAAACATGGTAAAGCCCTCCAAAGTGACAGCGGCGTCCCCGTGCCAATGATCCCCCAAATGCCGTGCAAGCTTCTGAAGATGATGTAGACCCGTGTGATCGCCAATGCGCTGCCTCCGATGGTTAGAATGCGACAGCACAGCAAAGAGTTAGAATGCCTCGAATGAATCAAAAAGAAATCAATAGGAACCAAAAGCAAAACAATAGGAATCAAAAGGACATGAAAAGGAACCACAAGGAAATCAATAGGGATCTAATAAAACCAAAAGGACAACTAAAAGGAACCAAGAGGAAATCAATAGGGGTCAAAAGGAAATCAATAGGAATCAAAAGAAAATCAAATGGAACCAACAGGAAATCAAAAGGAACCAAAAGGAAATCAATAGGAATCAAAAGAAATCAAAAGGAGCACATAATAGGAAATCAATAGAAACCAATAGGAAATCAATATAGGAATCAAAAGAAAAAATATATATATGTTAACCAAAAGGAACTCAATAGGAATCAAACGGACACCAAAAGGAAGCACGATGAAATCAAAAGGAAATTAATAGGAATCAAAAGGAAATTAAATGGAATCACAAGGAAATCAATAGGAACCAAACGGAAATCAATAGGAATCAAAAGGAAATCAATAGGAATGAAAAGGACATCAATAGGAATCAAAATGAAATCAAAAGGAAATCAACAGGAATCACGAGGAAAACTAAAAGGAA